GTTTTAATTGCTTTCCATGTCATTCTTTTTGGGTTTCCATGCCTCTTTTAAAGGCCCAAAACCACCTCAAAAACCCCTCTTCTTGGCCCTCTGACTTTACTTTTATTAACCCCAAAACCCCTTTTCCTAATTTCCACACAAACAAATTTTCTGTTTAATATTTAAAACCACACATTGACCTTAAACAGGACATCTCCACGGCCCCCAAACCCGTCTCCTCCCTGTGCATTTACCCCCCAAGCTTCACACCCTTAAAAGGGAGTGTTGTACTCTTTACTTTCTTTCTTTCCCTTCTTTGCCCCCATAGAAAAAAGGTTTTTTAAACCCCCACGAACACCTAACGCACCCCCCTCGCCTTTTTCCCTTCAAAAAATTTTAGGGATTAACCTCATCCTTCATAAACCATCCGCTGAATGTCAACTCCCAAGTTTTGAAAACATTCACTTCTTCCATACTCCTCCTCCCCAAATTTTGGATATCCAATTTTTCTTTTTTCTAAATTTGATACCCTCACACCTTATCTTTTCTATTTTTTCTTTAAACCCTTTTTTCCTTTTTACACAAAATTCCCAAAACTCATCCACAAAACCTTTGAAATTTTTTTTTGAATCCCCAAAAAAAGCACTGTTTCATCAGAAAAAAGCAACTGTGTAAATTCCCTTTTAAATTTGATTCCCCAAAATTTAAAACACACCCTTCCCCCCGAACCCCCTTTGCATTTATTTTTTTTTAAAACCCCATCTATAAATATATTAAAAAAAACCCGGGGTGCCATTAAATATCCCTGCAAAGGGAACCTACTTTTACCGGGAAAGGAAAGTCCCCTCTCTTCTCCCACCCCCCTCCCCGAGCCTCACTACCCTCATGAAAACTCTTTACCCCTTTAAAAACTTACACCTTTTCCCATTTACTTGCAACATCTGCCACATTGCCCCCCTTTTCCCCACTCTATAAAATATGCCTTTCTAAACCCAAAAAGCAATAAAAACTTTCCCTACCTTTATTAAATACTGTTCACATAAAAGCTTCAATGAAAAACACTTGATCTAAAAATTCCCCAAACCCACTCTGAAACCTCCTTGCCATCCCCCATCCTAAAATTCGGGTCTTACCTCAAATTCTTTAAATTTATAACCCTACAGTACATTTCCCCCTGGTAAAACTCAGTAAACTTATTCCTCTAAAATTTTTCAATCCTTTTCCCCCCTTTTCCCCTTTTTAAAAAAAAGGGGACTATACAAGCTCTCTGCCCAAACCCCCTGGTCCTTTCCCCCTTCTTTCAAAACATTTTTTTAAAACCCAAAAAGAACCAACCACTCCAACACTATTTTTCCCCCCCTGTTTTTAAACTTTTCTTTTCATTATCCCATCAGTTCCGCTGTTTTAAAACCCCCTTTATTTTTTACGACCCCAATGCCCCCGTAATATATATATAGATATAGATAGGTTTTGTACACACACACACAAAAAGGGAAATTTTAGGGTTTCCCTTCAGTTGCAAAGGGGAAGGAAAGGGAAACGACTTTAGTGGGGTGGTGGAAACGGGTTTTCCAAATATGTAGTTTTAAAAAAGGGTTTTATGATAGGTTCATGAAAATTAAGGGGGTGTGCATAGGAAGAGTGGCAGGTACCACATTTTGAGAACAAAACCCCTTTCAACCATTTAAAAAGGCGAGCACCTCACACATCCCCCCCCCCCTTTCCCAACTCACTTGTGGGTTTCACCTTTACTCAAACCCGCACACAACCCCTGCACAAACAAACCCTGCACGTTTGGGCACACACACAAAAAACCAGGGACACACCCTGCGGGTGGACACACAACCAACCCCTGCGCGCCCACACACACACCATGCACACACCCATGCACACCCCCACATAAAATGACACACAAAGCCCCAACACACACCCCACACCATGCACCCCACACCAGGTTTCACACACACAACCCCCTTGCGCCAACAACACACACACACACACACACCTTGCACCAACACACACCCTTTAAAACAACAACACACCTTGCAACCCCACCCCACACCCTTTCACACACCACACCACACACACACACACCAAAACACACACCTTGCACACACACACACCACCCCCCCAACAAACACACCCCCACACCCTTTTCACACAACACCCTTTCACACATAAATACACACACACCCCTGCACACACCATACACACACATGCCCCCACACACACACCCCACACACACACAACACAACCCTGCACACACACACCATGCACACACCACCCCCCATGCACACACCAAACCATGCGCACAACCCACACACACACCCTGCACCCCACACACATGCACACACCCCACCCTGCACACACCCCACACACACACCATGCCCCACCACACACACACCTGCACACACACAAAACACACACCCTGCACACACCCCACACACACACCCTGCACCCCACACACCCCCCCATGCCAACACACACACCCCTACACCACACACCCCCACCAACACAACACACACACACCATACACACACACATGCACACACACAACACACCATGCACCAAAAAAACAACCCCCAAAACACACCCCTGCACGCCCCGCACACAACACACACCCCCTGCACAACACAAAAACACCATGACACACACACCCACACACACCATGGGACCACACACAACCCCGCACCACACACACCAAAAAAACCTTCCACACACACACACAAGCACAACCCCCAAAGCCACCAAAAAACACACACAACCAGCCCCACCCCCCCACCCCACCATGCACACACAAACACCACCATGCACCACACAAACCCCACACACCATGTACACAAAAAACACACCCCATGACACACACACACACACACCTTTCACACACACACACCAAACCATGCACACAAAACCAACACCCCAAACACACACAACACACACACCCGCACACACACACACACACACCATGCACACACACACACACCATGCACACCACAACCACCAAGCCACACAAAACACCATGCACACACACCCCACCCCTGCACCCACCACCCTGCACACACACCAAAAACAACCCTGCAAAACACACCAAAACACAACACATGCACACACCCCATGCACACACACCCAACCCGCCCAACACAACACACCCACACACACACACACACACACCACAACCCCCATTTGGGGGACACACACACACAACCCTGCAACACACAAAACCCATGCACACACACACACAAACACCATGCACACAAACACACACCCATGCACACACACAACCATGGGCCCCCACCATGCACACACACACCCCCATTTCACACAACACACCTTTCACACACACCAAAACACCATTTACACACCACACCCCACCATACACACACCCTGCACACACACACACCCCCATACACACAACCCCACCATACACACAAAACCAACACACCACAAATACCACCCCACCCCACACCATACACACACACCATGCACACCCCACACACCACACAACCACACACACACACACACACACCACCACACACACACACCAACACCCAAACCCCACACACCACACCCAAACCCCAACACCACACACACACCACAAAACCCCACACCACACACCACACACACCACCCTGCACCCCAAACCCCCACACACACAACAAAACCCCTGCCCCCACACACACAACCCTTTCACACACACCACACACCAGGGACACACACAAACCAAAACCCTGCACACCCCCCACAACCCCTGCCCACACCAACACCCCCACACCATGCCCACACACACAACCCCTGCACACACACACACAACCATGCACACCCCACACACACACCTTTCCCCACACACACACCATGCACCACCACACCATCACACACACACACAACGCCCTTTCACACACACACACAACCAAGCACACACACAACACCATGCCCCAAAACACACAAAACACCATGCACAAAACACACAACCTGCACACACACACAACCCGCACAACTCCCAACCCTGCACATGCACAACACACACACCAAAAAAACACACACACACCCACACACCATGCACAACACACACAACCCCACCAACCAAAGCCCCCACACACACACACACACACCAAGCAAACACACACACACACCACCCCACCACACACACACACACACACAAAACAACACCACACACACACACACAACCTTTCAACACACCTTTCACATGCACACACACCATGGGAAAATTTCACACACACAAACAAACCTGCCCCACACACAAAACACAAAAAAACCATGCCCCCACACCCCGAAACCACACAGCACACAAACACACCATAAAATGGGACGCAAAATGCAACCCTGCACACGAAATGTGCACCACAAATAGGCGAGTACAAAACATAAAACCCGATTGCTTTTTTAAAAAGGGGTAAAATTTAGGTTGTCTGACTATTGCTTTATAGGGTAATGTCTGTTCTACATTAACTTGTTAAAGGTTTTACTGAATACGTAGCTGTTGTTGTTGATCTGCACAAGCCGTGGGGCATCTTTCAGTATGTTTACATTTTTGCTATGCTGCAGTTAACTGTTAATGATTAACCTGTTTAGTGGTAAATGCTCATTGGAATTATTCACTTAAATTTCTACAGGAATACAGCATATATTGCATTTAATTGTACAATAGAATATGGCATTTTATTTTTCTGTAAACCAGTGGTCAGGCAGTGAATGGTGGTCAGAAGAAAAACCTAGCTTATTGTGATGTGACATACATTGTTTACATTGTGCTTGTGTGTTTTTGGAATAGTTATGCTTCATGATGAGAGTAAATATTGTTCATTGTTATTTTTCTTTAATGATAGAGTACATAAGCAGAGAGTACAGACTTAAGCTACATTCATGTTTTTTTCTTCAAAATCTTTAAACCTGAAACAATATTTATTCTTGACATTCCTCTGGTATTTCTGTATATTTGGGGGTACTAGCATGTTGCTATGTGCACCAGTGGTCTAATGTGTGTGCGCGCAAATGGTCCTTCAGGCCGTCAATCTGGTCAAGGATGGGATGACACCAGACAGCAGCCGACGACTTTCTGCTTCAAAGGACAGACTCCGAAGGGGTTCACGAGAGTCCCTGAACTCCGCTGAGTTTGATGCCAACGATGATGTAAGTAGATCACCACACTCCCATACTCACCATAAGCGCACACTCACACGCACGTAAGTGTAAGCTCTCATTCAATTTTCTGTCTTCACTTTTTTTTCTTAATGTCCAAATTATTGGTCAGATTATTACTGATCCAAGTAAACTGTTTATGTAATCTGAGCAATTTTTATTTGTTATGGCAGTCAGAATTTGGATCTGAAGGAAAATTTTGTATCCAGCTTCTTACCCTTGACCAAAGTAAGTGTTAGTGTGTGCTCAAGCCCAGGGTTGTCTACTTCTTTGTGAGTATTGTTCTCATAAAAAACAGTTACATACTTATCTAGCATGTTATACTTTGAAGGAGTAGTTTTCCCTGGGTCCTTGTATGGGAAGTGTGCACTCAGATCTAGTGCAAGCAGTGCGCGGACACCTCAGAGGAAGGCAGGGAAGTGCACTCAATGTTCTGCTGAACCTGGACTACATCCACTACTCCAGCTATTGTGATAAATTTTATGGAGCTTCAACTATTTAACTCTTAGTCATGGAATTATCGTTCAGACATTTGCCTTATCGAGATGTTTATAGTGTGAACCGAGTTTAACACTGTTGAATTAGTTATCGAAAAGAAGTGAAGAAAAAGTTTATAAAAAGTAGTTTATTTGCATTATTAAGGCATGTTTTTATTGAAAACCTTTTCTTGTCTTGTGATATACGTTCTTGGGTGTGCAGTATATTGATTTTCAAGCCTTTCAGTCCGTGTTGTGATATACTGTACATTCATTTGTGTACAGTACATCAATTTTCAAGTTTTTCAGTCCATGTAGCATATGTTTTTATATAGTTTCAATGTATATTACCATATTTTTCATTTTTGTCTTATCAAATTACATTTCCGGTTCATACTAAACATCCCTAAACACACACTTATATAAAATGTATTGTATATCAGTATGTTTAGATCCGGATATCACATTGTTATTCATGCCCATTTTTTATTTTAAAGCATTATAAGCACAGACAAATAACAGTAGATAATTAGATAACAGACTTAACAATATATTAATCCAAAAATATGATTATAACAAGCTAATCTTGGGGAAACTAAGTACTCGTGGGAATGAATGCGGCCAATGTGTAACACTTTTACTCGAGTATTAGTAGAATTTTTTTTTTTTTCTTATAAAATATTATACCTGGCAATTTCAACTTGACTAAGAGCTTTGTATTTTAGGTATCAGAACACGATTGACAGCTTATTTAACTGCTGTAAAGTTTATTTAGACTCATTTTAATTTCATTTTGTAGAATGGCATATGATAATTCCTGAATGTTAGACAACCCCTGCATGGCATTATATATATATATTTTTATAGTGTTCAAGAAGTGCTCACATATTGGCATTTACTATACATTTTCCTCTGAAAGACTTCAGAAAATATTACGTCATTTTTTGTTATTCCCAAGCAAGTATATAATGCAGCAATATGATGTGGCTAGGACTGGGAAAGGCTTTTGAAGTACATGTTCTTGATTTTATTTAATATTAAATGATGGAATCTACAGTATATTAAATATTTTTACTTGTGCATTAATAAATACATTGAAAAATAGTGGTACACTTGTGTGCATATATACATGAATGTGTACATGAATGTACAGTATATGCATCCACATGCATGTACTTACCTGTTTACAGGTACAGAAATGGAGCCTATGCTTGTGTCCTGTGTCTGCATGCATGTAATTACCTTTCGAGTTAATGAGTGAATTTTAGCTCTTGATTATACCTTTTAACTTTCAGCCTTATTGATGAGGAATATAGTAGTTTTGTCATCTCAAATTCTTGCTTACACTGTAGCTGTCCAACTATGGCAGATAGAAACTGATGTGTCCAGATCAGCAGTAGCTATTCTTCAGACTTTGTTCGTGTGAAGGTGTTCCACAAGTTTATGTACTTAACATAACCTTATTTCTATTAATTTTCAATTGTCTTGTCTTGGCACTACCTCTGGGAATTTGGTCTTTGTTGATTCTGACATTGCTTGTGCTGATGCAAACATTCAACAGGTGTCCACCACCACCTTTCGGAGCACAAATGATAGCACATTCAGCTGGGTCTCATTGAACAGCTTCATTATTATCCAAAACATACTTGTTTACCGTTATTTGACACTATTTCTCCCCACACTATCAGTTCCTGTTCTGCATGCTCTCTGTTTTCCCTATTGTGGTCTTCTGTTTTATGCATAGCCTTTGACAGTTAACCCCTGCTGCCACCTCTATTTACTAACCAACCAAAGAGAAACCTTGTTTTGTCTGTACTTTAAAATGTGGGGTAAAAGCAGCAGAGTGGTGGATTTTGAGCTCTTTCTCATGACCCCTGCCTTTTAACTTTCAATCAGCTTGTGCAAATTAACCCTGTTATGAGTATTTTTTAAATCCTGTATAGAATTCTATCCACTCTGACTATGTCCTTGCCCATTCTAATTTCTTTCTGTGTTAGTGTTTTCAAATATCTCATTTGGTTATGTAATTCCAATCATACCATCTTCATTCCTTCCAGTCTAATGCCTATCCTTGTCTATACCCTGAGGGTCCTTATGTCATGTCATAATTTAATGTTTTCTTGTTCTTTAATTTTCCAGAGAGAGAGAGAGAGAGAGAGAGAGAGAGAGAGAGAGAGAGGGCTCTCAGTCTTTATAACTCATTCTTCCCTACTTTGACTCCAGTCTTGCTACACTTTTGGATGTTCTCACATTTCATTCTCTTACTAGTTGAGGGTTCTATACAGGTGCTGCATACCCAAGAATGACTTTCATTTACAAGCTAAATATTTTTTTACTGAAGTTTCTGGATTTCTTTATATTTTCTTAGAATGCTGCTGATATTCTCTATGCGTTAGTGGACACGTTTGGAGTAATAGTTATTCCTAGGTCTTATTCTTGCAACTTTGAGGGTTTCTACCCAAAATGGCACATTTTTTCCCATTCTCACAGCTATATTACTTTATTGGGAATTAAATATTAATAACTCAACCCATCCTCCTAAATTCTAAGTTAATCTCTTGGACATTTTCAGCAAAGTTTTTGATTTACATTATTTAGGCTAAGTTAGACTGGGTTAGATTGTCATCTGATAATAAAAATTAACCGATTACTGTATACCACAATGCTGGTAAATGAAATATTACATATAGGAGATTACTTCTGAACATGGACAGAAAATAGGAACCCTCTGAGCATGCACTACAATATACACCTACCATCCAACTTACGACCTGCTCGACTTACGATCACTCGACTTACGACCGTGTTTTTTATGCCAAATTTCTGGGAAATAAACAACTATTTGTGTTGTACACAGTGTTTATCCTAAACCTTACAGTATAAAATACAGTACTTACAGCATAAAAAGTAAAGTAAAACATGAAATACCAAAATAAAACAATAAAATAGTCATTACAAAAATGTTTTGTTGATATTCAGTAGTAAAGTTCGACTTACGACTGGTTTCTCGGAACCGAACTCGGTTGTAAGTCGGATGGTAGGTGTAGTTAGATAATAGCTTTTTAATGCTTGTGTAACAGTTATCCATCTGTCTTAGTCACTAAAATACCTTGATCAGGAGGAATGGCTGAATAACAGTGTGTTCATCTATTCCTGAAGCCTGTTCTGATCTTTGCAGAATTTTTCTGCCCTTTTGGTCTTATCTTTAAGTAATGACATTAAGTTATTTATTTCTCTTGACAGGCCATTAATATACAACAACATGGAGCATTGTATGTGAAAATTGATGAATTTGTTAGTATCAATATTAATAAATACTGTATGCAGACCTATTCCTTTCCCTTCCACACCCTCCTCCTCCTCCTCTTCCTTTTCTGTTGCGAAATATTACTTTCTGATCTAGTACTATATACACATTTCCTTGCTATAACTTTGTAGAAGAAAAAAAAATCCAGAGTTTCCTGACAGTGTAAAGTGCCTATCTAAAGCTCGTCCGGTGTTGGCAGTAACCTTCTGATAAAAAAAAATTCAAGCTTTCTTACATTAAAGGGCTTCATTCTTAATCCACAAATTGCAAAATTTCTGTCTTTCCGTTTGTCAGTCTTTCATTACTCGCCAAAAATTTGCCAGCTTCAGAATTCCACAGATTTTATTTTAGGACCTATCATCATATTAATGCATCTTATGCTTGTAATTTCTCAGCTAGTACTTTTGAGTTTATGAGATTTTTTTTTTTTTATACAAGATCAGGAAATCTGTCGATTATTTCTATCTTATTGAATAACTTGGTGCATACATCTTTTGCTCTCCAAAACTGTTTCTACTATCACTTCATCATGAAGGATTCAAGAGGTATTTATAACAATTCATAATTGGTAAGCTATAGTTTGTAAAGCCCAAAGACTTGTAATATTCAGCTGTGATGCTGAAATATTAAAGATTGCTTTAGAATTTACCTATGGTGAATAATACATTGGGGGATGGGGGATTAAAACAATTAAAATACTTTAAATGTCAGCACACTGTTTCTGTAGCAAAGTAAAATTTCAAGCCTTTAGAATTATCATTTCGTCTCCAAACCATCTTCATTAGCTAAGTTTTCAAATAATCTGGAGTCATGGATGAAGCTTTGCCAAACAACTGAACATATTATGAAGACCAGAGGCCACTTGATTGCTGTAAAAACTAAATGTATAAGATTGTGTGATATCTAAACAAAAAAATGTAGATTTCATATTAAAAGCAAAGAAAGATAAAAATAATAGAAAAGTGGGCAGTAAGAGTTTTGAAGGATATTAACAAGTTCAACTGAAGGCTTAGCCATTCAGTGAACATAAAGTGCAAATATAGATTCTCTCATAAAAAGAAATAATACTGCTTTCATGGTTGACCAAGATCAACCTCTGCAGTGCCTAAGTGATTTATCTAGAAAATATTAATTATAGTTACATTTGACTTAATGCCAAACCATTTCATGTTGATCAGTTAATTGGTTTAGGAAGGGAGTACGTACTTAAAATACAGTAATACCTTTAGCATTAAAGTTGCATCTTTCAACACACCGGCCGTATCCCACCGAGGCGGGGTGGTCCAAAAGGAAAATCGAAAGTTTCTCCTTTTACATTAAGCAATATATACAGGAGAAGGGGTTACTAGCCCCTTGCTCCTGGCATTTTAGTCGCCTCTTACAACACGCATGGCTTACGGAGGAAAAATTCTGTTCCACTTCCCCATGGAGAAAAGTTACATCTCTGTTATCAAATTGATCATTGCTGCTTGGATGTGGTTTGGACACGTAAACGTAATATAAGTGGTACATAAAAGATTTAGAGCATTACTGAACAAGCTTTACAAGTTCATTGAAAATGAAAATATCATCTTTTGTTTAATACTTGATGAATTTCCAAATTGACAAAACTTATTATAAATTATTTCATCACTCAAGGTTGTGTCATAGTACCTCTTGATTACTGCAGTTGTAAATTAAAACATTCAAATGGTAATGGAGTAATAAGAATGCTATGCTCACTAGCTGTATTTAGTTATAACTTTTCCAGATTAATAAATGTAAAAAGAACAAAAAACAAATTGGTTTCTTCTCTCTTGGGTCACCCTGCCTCAGTGGGAGATGGCCGGTGTGTAAAAAAAAAAAAAAAAAAAAAAAAAAACACAGAAGTTTTTACTTACTTTTTTAAGCTATTGTTGAGTTTAACTATTTGGTTTCTACAAATAATTAGGTTTTGATGAGTTGTGAACTTTCCTTTTATTAAAATTATGTTTTGATGTATATTTTTCTTTATATTTTGATTTTGCTGTAGTAAATATTCTTTGTCACCAGTCTGTCAAGCATTACTGAGGGAACCAGTGAGCCGAGAGCTCAGGGTAATGAAAATTATATACTCAGTTATGAGAGAGATGCAGAATTATTTTTGTAAGTTTATAATAGCATGCAGTGAACCCTCTAATTAACGGACTAATAGGGGGGAAGGGAGTGTATGGTATTGATGATTGTCTAAAACATCCAAATTACAAAATGAATTACTCTCGATCACAACATAAATGGACAAAGTTCTGAATCAGTGGACTTGCTCCACTGATGCAAAAGACTACTAGACCCTGAGAATATGGATATTGTAACCTGTGGCAGTAGTACAGACAGTATCGTACTGTATAGCAATTTTATAGTATTGTATGCAATGTACAGTAATTTTGCTTGCTACCTTATTGTGGTGTAAATTGCTGTGATCGAATAAGAGTTATCTGGCTCAGAATAACTTTTATTCTGAGTCAGAAGAGCTGTGAACTCTACTAATTAAAATAATGTAGATGGCTGAAAAAACATACTGTACATGAACAAAAAGAAACAATACCATGACTGGAACAATATACAAATAACCTGCACATAAGGGAGAGGAGCGTACGATGTTGTGGTCTGACTTGGACCACACACTGTGACTGTAAATGGTCCAGGTCGGACCGAAATGTCATCGTAAGTTTCTCTCTCTTATGGACGAGTTATTTCTGTATTGTATACTGTAGATGGCTGAGAAGGCGAGCCACTGAGACACCAAGACTCGACCGTCTTTATTAGTTCAAGTTTCTACGGAACACTGAGGGTCGCGCATTTCCACATAGTATCACCACTTGCTTTAAGTCATTGTTAATTGCACTTTATTTAGTATGTTAATTATGGGAAAATTGAAGGCTGAATGATGAGAGTATGCGGGAGTGAGCACGAAAACTAAATTAGTGCAGATAACCTATGGTTTGGGTAATGGTAAAAACAGACAGGCTCTGGATATGAGACACTGGCCCATACCAGACAAATGTTGAAGACATTGGACTTGGTCCAGTACTTCATGAAACAACCAGACTACTGCTACAGGCAAAATCAGAAATTATAAATTTTATTCTATTTTGTCCAATGTTTCCAACATTTTGTACAACTGAATTTTTTTTGTCTAAAATTGCTGGAATCTGTTAACTGAAGGTCTGTTAATGAGAGGTTCTACTGTACTGTATAATAAGCAAGTCTAACCAATAAACTAATCAGTCTAGTATTTATATTTTTCTGTAAATGCATGACTCCATATAGTCTTAAAGTTGACTCGTGTTTTTAATGTTTAGTATCTGAATAATAGTGTGCGCGCTGCTTTTCACATGAAAAGCTTATAAACCCAAAGATGAAGGTGGTGGGATCTAACTTCACTGTCATCTCGGCTTACTGGTATCTCGTCCATGTATGCAGACAGGAATAGGGATGAAGATTTCTGTGCCACTGTGATTTTGTGTATATCAAATACATTGCACAAGTAGTGGTCAATGGGAGGAAATTTAAGTGGGACTGTGACTTTTATATTTAGTAAAAATTATCTTAAAATGTTCATTAGTAAATTTATAGTTTTATTAAATAGTAGCTTGGGCTATATTTAGTTTTAACATTTAATTGCTAATTTGTAATGATTTATATTCTTTGATGCAATTACGATACATTAAAAGCTGGAGCGCTAAAGTTACAAAGGGCTCGGGTGGCACAGATTCTTCCACCATTCCCAGACTGATGGCTCAGGTACATTCTCTTTCTCCCCAGCCCCCAAACTTCCCTTCCCCCATGGGGTCTACTACTTCACAAAGATCGCAAGACGACGCACGCCACACCGGTATTAAAAAAATCTTCCACGCTTTCGGCTTTCAGTCCTGAATGAAGCACAAGCAGAATGCGCTCAACCCACGCCTGTTTTGGACTCTCTTAAGAGGCGCTGGCTGGTGGCTGGTAGTGTAGAACCCTCCTTTCCCCACCCATCCCAAGACAATAGTTTGCTGTGTAGGCAGTTGTCCCAGCTGAGAATGGCCTGAGCATTGGTTGTCATAATTTGAGGGATTTATTTATTTTTGATAGACATGTCTGAAGTCCCTACAGTTTCCTCATATTATTTGACAACATTTTATATAGTACTTTCATGAGCAATAGTTTTAAATATTTATTCTATTTCAATTGCTCAGACTTTTCAGCTTTGGTCATTCTTAGTGTGCATCATTTTAGCCTTTGAACAATTCATTTGCATCTATGAAATACCACTATTTGTTGCATTAATTTAACAAGTTAGTGAGTTGTCAAGATTTTTGTGGAAACTGCATATCTATTATAACATTTAAAGAATAGGCATGTAAAGTATCATCTAAATTTATTAATACATACTGTGTAATTTTTTTAGTAACATTGTTTTAAAGTAAAGATATTTAAATTTTAAAATTAATGAAAAGGATACAGTACTATATTGAATAACAGTTGATCAGTTGAATCATATTTTTTTCCTCTTCCTATTCACTAACATGTTAAAATGTGTATAGCAGCATGACTACTCTCCCAAAATGCCTTTTAAATCCATATACCAGATGATGATAATGACTTGTAAAGTCTCATTGTGGGTAAGCAGTTGCCAGCCTCCACAGTGTCCACAACATTTTGTGTTCTGGCAGAAACCATCTAAATTTGTTTGTTATTGCAAGGCTTGAGAAACTAAAATTTAAAATATTTTTATGGTCAATTTTGATGACTTTTGTGTGTGTTAGAAAAGTATTCTATAACTTAAGCTTTGGTATGAAAAATTATTTAAATGTACCCCAAAAACAATTGATAGTACTTATACAGTATAAATTTGATATAGGTTTTATTATTTATTAATACTTATTAAGTACAGTATTTTGAAAATATAGTATACTAGATGTTTATGATTTTTTAATAAGCTGTTTAATAGGAGTTTTTGCTAAACTTCAAGAAATATTATAAAGTTTTTTGTTTGATAATCAGGGTTCTAAAGAATAAAAGGAAAAGTAAAATATTGAACTCTTAAATGTCTAATAATTTGAGTCTTTAAAATTGATGGTGGATATTATTGTGTTCTGCCAGCACATAATGATGTTCCCACCACTCTCCTCACACCTCACTTTAAAGTTTAACTGTTGTGTGTTGTTGTATTGAGATATAATTTATTTGTAGTCAGCATTACTTTATAGTGTACAGGGAAAAAGCCGTTATCTATATTTTTACACAGATGCGTTAATTACTTAAACTCGTATTTTCGTATTTTTTTTTTTATTTATCCATGATCGAGTTACTGTTGTCTGTCTAGGGACCACTTTTGCATATTCCCGTCTTCTTTTCAGTCCAAATTAGTTTCAGTAAGGAAAATGCAACTATCATTTTGAGACAGTATCCAGGTCAATAGAAAATAATGTCTTACATAAGTTAATTTGAAAAGAAACACGAGAGAATGTTTGTAAAGTGTGTGTGTGTCTGATTTGAGTTTGCTGGGCAGAGGATGAAGGAGGTATAGTTCTTGTTTCTGAGTCTTTTTAGGCTGATTGACAAGAAATGTCTGTCATATATATTTGTGTACCCTTGAATGGAGTCCACTTTCACTATCATTGAACAGTTAATTAATTGCACTCTTTTCTAGTCTTACATTGCAATGTTTTATGATATATTTAATCATTTGAGTGCACCATTTCTTGTCTATTCCCTGAAATGTTTTGCATGTGAGGACTATAGTCCCTTGTTCTTCATTCTTTCAGAATTTAGAGACAGACAATTTATTCTCTCCTCTTAGCTCATTCTTCTTAGTTTAGGCACCATCCTGGATGCACCACCACTCTGAATTAAAGTTTCATATTGTGTTTAGCTGAGAGTTGCAGTCTTGCTGTTGATATGGTGAGGGTTTTCACTGTTGCTATTGACATGGTGAGAGGGTTTCACTGTTGCTGTTGACATGGTGAGGGCTCCACTGTTGCTGTTGACATGGTGAGGGCTCCACTGTTGCTGTTGACATGGTGAGAGCTCCACTGTTGCTGTTTATATGGTGAGAGCTCCACTGTTGCTGTTGACCTAGTAAGGGTTTTCATTTTTGCAGTTATGGTGAGGATTCAGCACTGATGCTGTCTGTCTAGGTTTCTGAACGAAACTCATTTAAAAGCTCTGCATGTTCTGTTGATATTGTTTCTGCATGTTCAAGTATATACTTTGATTTTTGTTACACAAATCAGGCAGAGTTTTAAGTTTATGTGAGTTGTGTTAAAATTAATTAACCTATGGTTGCCATTATTTTCGTAATTGACTTTTGAGTGTGATTCCTGATTACTTTAACTTTTTTAACCAAAGATGGGTAATAAAGCAAAAAAGTCAAATAACAGAATTAGGCGAGATTTTCAGTGTAAAATTGTGTTCACAAATGATCAGATAAGGGACACCACAGTGAGAATTTATTTAATTTAAAACTGTTAGTCTTGTTTATGTGAGAAGTGAAAATGGGGTGTATTGTGAAATGTATGAATCTTATAAAAGAATGTGCTTCCACAGTTTTCAAAATAAACTTTACTTGTTGGTATACTAGTTTTATGAAAAGAGTATTAATGTTCAAAAATGTGCAGACTAGTAATATTAATATGGAATTGTTATTAAATATAATATAAGATAGAGTTTGGAAGGCAGTCTTAATTTTAATTCTGATACATTTTAGGCAAATTGTGCCTTTTATTTGCAAATCTTATTTTAAGTATAAGTATAGCTGTCAAAAATAGGTTTCTAAATGTACTGTCATATTGTGCAAACATGCAAGACAGAGGCTCCAGAATATATTCATTCTGACACTGCTGCTTTTTCCAACATCATTTTTTTAGTATGTCCACAAAGAATAAGAAGAGACAATACCATGACTGGGACAACGTACAAATAACCCTCACATAGGAAAATAACACTTATGATGACATTTTGTTCTGATTTGGACCATTATCTAGTCGCACACTTGATGTGACTAGTTAACGCTCCAAGTTGGACCAAAATGTCTCCACAAGTTTCAGTCTCCTATTTATGGGCTATTTGTGTTTTAGTATACCCACAACTGCTGTGCTTTTAATTTAAAATTCTTAACAAAACATGTTTAATTTTTACCCCTTAGTCATATACAGTAGAACCCCCATATCCGCAGATTCAGTTTCTGCAGTTTCAGTTATCTGCTGTTTACCGTGGCCCGAAAATAAGCCTTAATTTTGCCTAATAATGACCACAGAGCACAAAAGTAGTGATTGTAGCAGTTCTTCAAAGCCTAAGAGAAGCTGTAAAGTGCTTCCCATCAGTGAAAAATTGCTAATTCTCGACTTGCTGTGCATAATTTATCAATTGAACTTGATCGTAGGTATGTATGTAAACAAAGAACGACTTATATATAGAGTTTACTATTATCCACGGTTTCAGGCATCCACAGTAGTTTTTGCAAAGTATCTCCCATGGAAATGGGGGGACTACTGTACTGTATAAAATTGCTCATTTCCAGCACAATTTAGATCCTTAGCATACATAGTGCTCAGTGGTGTACCAGTATGGTTGGCTTTGACATGTAGGTGTAGCTTCTTTGCAAACAAATTTTCCCAGTATAAAATATAAAGTAAAATATTGCTACATTCAAAACTTTCATTGGGTTGTTTTTTATAACATAACTAAATTTGGGTGCAAATGGTGATTAGGACATTTAATAGAGGGATATTTTGCCTATCAGGGCAAAATTGATAGTTGTTAATTTCCTCATAGCACAGTTTTGCCTTACTCATATAACTAAATTTGTAACAAGTTTCCATATTTGTGTAAATTATCCATTTTATATACTGTGTATATGAACTGAGTAATTTCAGTTTACATCAGGTGGACATAATAAAATTGTCAGAGACAATAGTCTACTTTTTTAGTGTGATAAATTATGAACATACACTTTGCCCCATAGACTTAGTTTCTATTAGAATTGTATTATGATGGCCAATAATAAAAATTGCAAATTTGGCTAATATCATAAAAGTAATTAAAACAGTTTGACATTGGTTTTACCAATAACCATAATTTTGAAAGAATATCATGCTAAACAGTACCTTAAATGTTGGAAATAATTCATTTTGATAAAGGCAGAAGTTAGTGTATTGTAGAGTACATCTTCAATGGCCATCTTCCATCAACTCGTGGCAACCCAAGGAAAAAACACTCTTATCATTCAGTCAATCACTGTCTTGACCCTAGTAGGTTTACAACTTCTTTTTTATTATAATAATAATAAATTGCTGTCTTGCCAGAAGTATGTTGATACCATTCACATTAACCTCTTGACTGTAACATCACTTCTTCTGAATGCAGGCACTGCCCTTCCCACCTCCAAAACTGAAGTCCAGCTAACCAGTTGCCCCTGAATCCCTTTATAAATTCATTCTCTCTCTCTCTCTCTCTCTCTCTCTCTTCTCTCTCTCTCTCTCTCTCTCTCTCTCTCTCTATCTCTATATTTATCTCTATATATATATCCTCTCTCTCTATCTCTATATATATCTCTCTATCATATCTCTCTCTCTTTATATCTCTTTTATCTCTTTATATCTCTTTATACTCTTTATATCTCTCTATATCTCTCTATATCTTTATATCTCTTTATATCTCTTTATATCTCTTTATATCTCTCTCTCTCTCTCTCTCTCTCTTTATCTCTCTCTTTTACTCTCTCTCTTTATCTCTCTCTCTCTCTCTTTATCTCTCTCTCTCTCTCTTTATCTCTCTCTCTTCTTTATCTCTCTCTCTCTCTTTATCTCTCTCTCTTTATCTCCTCTCTCTCTCTATCTCTCTCCTCTTTAT